GTCCTTCTCCAAGGACTGGTCCCTCCTGGCCATGTGCCCAAGTATGTGAGGTGGAGCTTCAAAATCCCAGCCTCCAGGAGGCAAGTGATCTGTTGGTGCTGTATTTATACCAGAACCAAATCTATGCTGTTGACGTGCTGTGACCCCAGCAGGAGTCCGAGACTGATTCCTCACAGGAGGAATGTGTCCATCCTCAGCAGGACACTGGTGGGTTCCGGCGGCAGCTTGCGGCCCGCAGCCATGCTCTTCGGTAGATCTGAGAAGTGAGCGGGCCCCGGGGTGCAGCAGAGCAGGTGCTGGCTGACAGCCTGTGGCGTGGTGGGCTGTGCCGTGGGCTCGCTGTGCCGTGGGCTCGCCAGCATCTTTTTGTGACATTTGTCGTGGTTTGAATGAGTGTGCAATCTCTCAGTGTGCCGCCCACATGGACACAGCACTCCTGGAGGGCGTCATGACCCCTCCGGGCAGCGGCAGCATTCCCTGTCCCTCCACAAGGGCCCCTCTTTCTACCCGTCCTTCTGTCCTGCTCCTTCCAAGCTCTGAGCTCTGTTCTGGGGCCGATGCTGCCCTGTCGTGTAGCTGATTGTTCTGATGGGCAGCATCACTCACTTTCCAGGCCTGTCTGGGTTTGGAAAGGAGCCCTCGTGGTGTGGTGGGTTAAGCCCTTAGCTGCTAACCAGAGGGCTGGGGGCTGCGCCCACCCGCTGCTCTGAGAGAGGAAGACACCGTCTGCTCACAGATCACAGCCTCCACGATCCTGGGGCGGCTCTGCTCTGACCCTCTCACTGTCACTGCAAGTCAGCATCAGCTCATGGCGTTGAGTTCTTTAACTTTTTAAAAATACAAAGAAACAACAGCTGAGCTTAGAGGATGAGGAGGGAGGTGCTGGCCATGGGGTCTCTGGTGCCCTGTTCTCCTGCTGAGAATGTCTCCGAGGATGCAGAGACCACCCACTCCCTGCTAGGCCAGTGAGCATCTGGGTGCCTGCTTCCCAGCCAAAGCAGCAAGGCCCAGGGAATGGGGACTTGGGGTGGAATGAACCTGCCTGCTTCACAGGCTGTACCCTGCCCCCTGCCCCCATCACTGGAGGCCTTTTATGGGCAGAGAACCACCCCCACACCCTGGGGAGGGCCTGTCCTTGGAGCGCAGAGGACATTGCCAGGCACATCTCCCGTGTGCCCCTGTCGGTACCAGGGACATCTGGCTGACTCCTCTTGGCAGCCACACTGGGCAGACCTGATGGGTGCAATTTGAGGCTCGAAAGGGGACGCCAACATCACCTCCGTACAGCCTCGGAGCTGTGGTGGGCCATCCTCTCGTGGGCCTGGCTAGGCTCCGGACCACCTGCCAGCCAGCTCCTGTGACCCTTCCCTGGGCCGTGACCCTGGTCATGTCCCGGCCTGGCTCTCGCCCGCCCACCCCCATATTCCCTCAAGGCAGCCTTTCATGGGCTGGACAATGTCCCCTGTTGTCCATGGCCAGAGAACCACAAGCTGGAACCCTAGCCCCGCCCCCTCTCAGGGTGGGAGAGGGTGTGCCCTCCACACCCAGGCTAGCCCAGTCCTGCCCTTTTGCTTTTGTTATTGTTACTTTTTAGATATTGATTGTGATTTGAGCAAACTGGTCTTCCAGTTCACACCTTGTTTTGTGGTGGTTGGTTCTAACACCCACTTGTCCCCTGTGATTCTCTTCTCCCTTCATCCTCTCATGCTCCTCCAGCCTTCTGAGCCTTCTCTCTGGGCAGATACTGCCCTGATCTTGTTTTAAGGAGTGACCGCCTCCCTGCCGTTACTGGTTACTTTCCAGGCCTGTCGAGTGTTTGGACACAAGTTGAGCTTCAGGGTTCAGGTTTGAAAGGTGACTGAGGCCGCAGTCTTGGGGGTCCCTCCAGCCTCCTTTAGTGAACCTGGTCAGCATATGTTTCTGGGTGCTGGCCCACATGTCCTTCCCCTCTCCCCAGGCCTACCCGCTGTGGTCTCAGCGGAACGGTCAGCTGTAGCAGCCGGGCACCGTGGAGTGCTGGCTTGGGCAGTGGAGTCTGGGATTTGAGTGCCCGTTAGGTCTCTGGGCTTGTTGCTGTGCTGCTTTGCTGTGACTGAGGAGCCCCGGTGGTGCAGCAGCGGTGCAGGAGGGAGCCTCGACACCTGAAGGGGTGGCCAGGCAGCAGAGCCCCTGGGGGGCAGCGTGTTTGGTTCTGGGGTTCACATCCCAGAGCAGAGCCCCGGGAGCACGTTGGACGCCTGCTCCCAGGCCTGTAGAACCCACTGCTTAACCCCAGGAGGACACAGAGACTGTCACAGCGGGTGGCTGATATAACACTGTCCCTCATCTGCTCACCTCAGTGCTGCAGGCCCGGTGGGGCCCCTGAGGGCAGGGGAGGGCTGAGTGGATGTGGGGCTGGCCTCAGGTCCCCAGCTCCCTTCACGCACAGCCCTCAGTCTCGGCAGGCTGTTTGGTGGCTGACCCTTTGTACCCACAGCCCCTGTGTGAGCGGCTGGCATTGCCCACCCCTTTCTGTCCAAGCCCCCCTAGAGGAGGGAGCACTGGGCAGGGCTGAGGTGGGCACCTCACTGGGGCATTGCTGCCCTCTGCTGGGCAGCCTGGGTATGGGTGGCAGGGCCACTGCCCTCTCCAGGCCAGTCTGAGAGGACCCCCACCTGGGTTCAGCCTTGCAGGCCACATGGGTTACTTTATCCCTCTGAGCCTCGGTTTCCCCGTCTGTGAGTTGGGGTGGTAGTAGATGCTAGGAAGTTTTCTGGGATTCAGAGTCTATACACCATACGCGTGGTCAGAGCCTATGGCTGGGTGTGTCCAGGGCCCTGGGTGGTGATGCTTGTGTGGATATTTGAACTCTACCCCTGAAGGACTCACTGCAGAGCGAGACTGGACTGCAGCGTGCCTGGGCCAGGGGCTCGGTCAGTCAGGGGGCAGTACAGTGACCTTGCTGTGGCCATGCGGCAGGGCCAGGGGCAGCCAGCTCTCCCGCTCGGAGATGAAGGCGCCACACGTGTAGGTGCCTGCTGTGTCCCATGTGCTGAGGACATGCCCTCGTCCTGCGGGGCAGCTGAAGGGTCAGAGGGCACGGTGGTCAGGGTGTCTTCAGCTCAGCCACATGCACCACTGAGTTAGGGCCCTTCAGACCAGGATCCCTGTCAGCTGACCCTTCGCCCACTGACCCCAGCCTGTGAGCCCACCACACACAGAATGCTGTGGGCCTGTGTGGGAAGCAATAGGGACAGACAGGTGGTCACCAAGGTGGTCACCAAGACTCATAGGCAGGTCCAGTTCAGGCCAGCATTCCTCTCTGGGGTGAAGAAGTCATTGTCAAGGTGGAGACACTTCCTGCAGAGTCATCCAGGTGTCCCCAGCAGGGAATGTCTGAAGTCTGTGCCCAGCGAGGAGCGGGCCATGGTCACCTCTGTGTCATGGTCACAGGGTGACTGTGCTGCCTGTGTTTCAGATGTCAGTATGGCAGCCAGGACCCAGTGGGGCTGCAGACTCAGACTAGGAAGCAAGGCCTGGCAACCTCCTTCTCAAACCTGGAAAGAGCCCCGTAGTCACAGTAGAGCAGCCTGACCGGAGCTGGGAGGGAGCCCCACGCGTGGAAGAAGGGAACACACAGAGACCCCCGCAGTGGACTCCAGTGCCCAGCAACCATGAGGACAGTACAAAGCCTTGGTGCTGTCCCTGCTGTGTGAGGGGTCTTCTTGCTGACTGTAAAACACCAAGCAACGATGACGGCTGCCCAGTGTCATGGAGTCCCCAGATCCACAGCTGAGTCCTTCTAGAACGTTCTCCAGTGAGGAAGTCAGGGTGGCTGCCTGAGCCTCCTCTCTAACCCAGTGGTTTTCAACTGCTCGCCTGTACCACTCGCTCCCAAGTCAGTCTAGCGGGGCCAAACTTGGGGTGTGCACGTGGCGCAGCTGCCTCACGCAGAGAGCTTTGGGGAAGGTCTCCAGCCTCGCTGGGCTCTCCGTCTGGCCTCATGCACGCATCTTGTCCATGGCCACAGGTCTCCTGTTTCCTCCTTTGATTCCTGTTTCCGTTCATCCTACCCTATCCTTTCCTCCTTCTGCTCTTTGTCCCTGGGCAAATGCAGCCTTTTGATCTTGTGTGGTTGATGGGTCTAAAGAATCAGTGCTTCCCTGGTGTTACTGGCTACCTTCTCGGCCGTTGTATTGCTTGGCTGAACATTGAGCCAGGGGGGTGAATTCAGTCCCTGTGTGCGGGGTGACTAAGGGCCTCTTCCATGTCCAGAGGCTGCACCCCTCCAGTCTGCCTCCAAGATCACAAGATCCCCACCTCCTCTGTGCCCACACTTTCCTCCACCCCCTCTTCTCAGGACTCTGGTGGGGATATGTGGCATCTCTCATCTCTGATCTTTAACCACATCTGCAGACAGCAGGGATACCAGGGTATAGGTGTCTTGGGGCCAGACCTTTACTGACTGGTTACTCAGGTGCATAAACAAAACCCGAACCTGTTGTGTGGAGTTCATTCCACCTCTAAGTGGCCTCTCTGTGGGAGCTGTGCCCACGGGTCTTCCTGAGTTACCTGGAGGGAAGCAGGTGGTCAGCTCTTTCTTCTGAAACTCCCTGGGTGGTCTGACCTGCTGGGGGTTAGGAGGGCTGTGGGAGGCCCCTGTTTGCTCCTCCTGGGACCCCCAGATGTGTGTAGAGATGGCCAGTGTGTCCATGGACGTGCGTACACCTGATGATAACCTCAGAGACACAAAACGAGAGGTCAGAACAAAGCAGAGGCAGTAGACGGCCGGGCAGCAAAAGGCCAGGCAGGGTGGCAGGGGCCTGGGCCTTACAATTCCTGTTCCACATGTCACCGTCAACTTGGCCCAGGTGGACCCTACACAGAGGACAAGGTGCACCTAAGGTGCCCTCCTGCCCTGTCTATCAGTGGTGCCCAGGGGACATGGGGCTTCTGGCTCAAGCCCCTGCCCACCAAGGTTCTTCTCTGGCATGACTGTCCACCTTTTCTGCTCTCCCCAGGGTACCGAGAAGGGTTCCTGTGGAAACGTGGCCGTGACAATGGGCAGTTCTTGAGCCGGAAGTTTGTGCTGACTGAACGTGAGGGGGCCCTGAAGTATTTCAACAAGAATGACGTGAGTGGGGTCCGGGTGGAGGGCAGAGCATGGGCCCTGGACTGCTCCCATCTCTAGAGGGGACACATCACCACCATGAATGACCCACCACAGCCCCATGCAAATGGCCATCCCCCATGCATGAGAATGCCCTGTCCCCTGTGGACAGGAATGCCCCACACCCATGGGGCCAAGGCCAGGCGGAAGTGCTCCAAGCTGTCACCCAGAAGCAGTGTGATTTCACCAGGTCCTCATGGTATCTCAGGAGGGAGATTTCGTGAACTCAGGTGCCGGGGCAGGTTCTGAGGCCCGAAATGTTGAAGACTGCCCAGAACCACACAGCATAGCAGGCCAATGACCAGCATCCTCGTTCCGTGACCACCAGTGGCAAAGCCTCCTTTTCTACCACCCTGCACGTGGGGGCTCACTCTGTCCTTGTCCTCAGGCCAAGGAGCCCAAAGCCATCATGAAGATCGAGCACCTCAATGCCACCTTCCAGCCAGCCAAGATCGGCCACCCCCACGGCCTGCAGGTCACCTACCTGAAGGACAACAGCACTCGAAACATCTTCGTCTACCACGAGGATGGGAAGGTGGGGTGTGGAGGGGGGGCTGGAGAGTAGACTGGGGCAGGGCTGGGGCTGGGGCAGGACTAGTTGGGGAGGCTGGAGGGAGGGCAGGCCTTTAGCTGGGGGCAGGGCTGGAGGGCTGGGGGCGGCTGGAGGGTTAAGAGTGAGATAAGGAGTGGGAGGACTGAGGCTTCCAGTGCTCTGGAGAGGTGCCTTGGGGCCTCCGGAACAAAGGGCTACAAGCTGGGAGCTGAGAAGGACTGGTGGTGTGCTGGCTGGCCTGGAGTCCAGAGCTGAGGGTCAGCAGGGCCAGATCCCCTCGAAGGCTTTGGGGAGCAGCGTCCTCTGTCTCTTGTCCTGTTGAATGACAGGGCCTGGCGGGTGGGGCCGGCTGGTGCTTCCTGTCTACTTTTATGGATGGCTTCCTTCTGCATCTCTTCTCTATAAACCCCACTCTCACCGGATCGGGGTCCACCTTCTCCAGCATGACCTCACGTCACATCACCCACGTGCTCACATCTGCAAAGCCCCTGCATCATGCCCAGGTCACCTTCACAGGTTCTGGGGTCAGGACGAAGTCTGTAACCCAGAAAAACCAAACCGAACTGACCGTCACTGAGTGGACCCTGACTCCAGCGACCCTGGGAGACAGCAGGGAGCTGTCCTTGAGAGTTGCTGGGTGTGATTCTTCAGGGGCAGTGATGGCCTTGTTTGCTCAGGAGGACTTGGTGGATTTGAACCCTTTAGGTCAGCAGCCGAATGCGTTAAACACTGTGCTTTCACAGTCCACGGCAACATGATGGAATCTGTTTAAACAGAAAAACAAATGAAATGCATTGAGAGATTGAGATGGTCCAAGGCGGGAAGCATCACTGTCACAGAGTGGACATGGTCACTCAGCCGGACCCAGGCCAGGGCAGGCTACATTCCCATGGTGTTGCATCAGGAGCTAACGGTCAGAGAATTCCTAACTGGCTGGACCACCGTGGGACAAGTCAGAAGCGGGATATTGAGAAGTGATGATTCGGCAGTCGGGCTCAGAACACAAGCCAGGATGGTCAAAGGGACAGGCAGTGTCCTGGACGGGCTTTTCTGGGCACCTGTGAGTCGATTCCAACTCGCCTCCACACTACTGGCTTAGAAGCCAGAGTGTTCTTTAGAGACCCAGACGCCGAGGCTGTCTCATACGCTTGGGGCCTCTTGTCGGAAGGGGCGAATCCTTGGAGAAGGACATCGTGCTTGGGGAGGAGGAGGGTCAGCTAACGAGAGAAGACCCTGAGTGAATGGACCGACACAGCGCCTGGACGCCAGGCGTGAACGCAGTGGACACTGAGACGGATCCAGCGTAAGGCAAGGTCTCTTTATTTAAAAAATTTTCTTTTTATTTGAATGAAGGTTTCCAAATCATGTTGATTTTTCATGCAGTCATTGATTTGCATTTTGTTTCACAACGTTAATTGCCACTGATGTAGGCCGTTGATCCATTAATTATGCTGTCTGGTCACTTTTCGCTGTACGTGGTGAAGGTAGGGTTCACTTGTGCATAGAGCTGCGCCACCATGTAACGAAAAAGGGAGCACTTTTTCCTCAGTCATGATTGCCGCTGAGCGTCCTACGTGGATCCCAGACTCCTGTCAAGACCTACAAGTGGGGCTGAAGTGCTGCTTGTCAACAACCCTGAGACCGGGGTCCCTCTGCCTTTGCCTCCGTCTGTGAAGTGCTTCAAGCTGGAATCCCGTTTCCAGAGGTGCTGGGCGCCAGCTGCGTGCTTCCCGCTTCTGAAGGTGCCGGGACTTGGTCCTTTGTACCTGCCAGCACCGCAGAGGCCATCAGAGGCTGTGGTTACAGTGGAGCAGGGGGATTCGAACCAGCAGAAGCATGACTGTAGGTCAGCAGCACAGCCCCCACAGCCTGGCCCCAGTGCTCCCTCGGGCTCCCTCTGGCTGGTTGCCGTTTCTCCATCAGCACTTGTGTCCTGCAGTTTGAACAGCTGAGCTTGTCCCTGTGAGGGTCCCTCAGCCTCCCGGCTGGATCTCACCCTGCCTCCTGGCTGCTTCCCCCCACCTCACCCTCCTCCTGATTCAGTGGAGACACCTCATGCCCAGAGCTCCCCAGGCCACATCCTCACATTAGTGCCCTCAGATCCTTAGTCCCTGAGGCCTGGGAATGGCTTTTGGTCAGCCTCCTCCCTTTTTCTGTTTCTGCCATCTTCACTCGGCCAAGCTCCGGGGCTCAGCTCTCCACTCTTTTCTCCCTCGACTTTCTGAGAAATGTCAGCTTCTTCTTCCACCTCTTCTGCTGAGGATTGCCTCTCCAAGGCCAGTGTTGAATGTTGCAGGGCTCTTTGTTCTTGATCTTCCACTGCTGTATCTGGTCTTATCTGTGATAACCCTTTATGCTTCATCAGGAAGGACAAAGGGGTAGATGTCTGAGGTCTCAGTGGCTGTGAACTGGTGAGGAGGTTGGGCTGCAAGAGTAGGGGTGGGGCCCCTCAAATTGTTCTCTACAAATGAGTGAGTGAGCTCTGCCAATGACAGGAAAGGTGGGTGGGGCTGGAGAGAAGGGAAAGCAGGGAGGTGGGCGGGGCTAGAGAAAAGGCCAGAGCAGTTGTGAGAGGGCCGAGTGGGCGGGGCTGCCAATCTTGTGGGTGGGGCTAGAGCGCAGATGGGCCTGAGGCCCTTGAGACACTGAGGGCGGGGCCAGAGGCAGGTTTGCAGGAGGCTGTGGGTGCCCTGGACAGTGGGGTCTGAGGAGAGATGGGGCTAGATGTAGGTGCCCAGCAAGCCCATCCAGGAGAGGCCCCAGCAGGAGTGAGGTTGCTTCTCTGGATGGAGTCGGCACTGACCTGGGTTCATCAGGATGGACACAGGATGGAAGGAAATGATGCTGGATGGGGCCTGGCGAGCCAGAGGCTGGAGCAGTGAGAAGAGGTCTGTGACCGCAGGGTGGATATAGAGCCTGGGAAGAGAGCTCTGAAGAGGCAAGATGAGGGTGTTCCCTGCACCCCTTCCTACTGGAGGCGTCCCTGGGAAGCTTTGCCCACATCAGCCCTGCTCCTTCCACTGAAGGACTGTCCAGTGGAAGCTGATCTCCTTGGCCTTCAAGATTGGCTCAGAGTGCTTCTCCCGGAAAACCCATGATCCTGCCTAGTCCAGCGCACGGGTTGGGGGTTAGGGGGCAAGGAGTCCAGGATGGGATGATGGAGAGGGCCTGAGACTGTGCTCAGATACCCTCATCTTTCAGGAGATTGTGGATTGGTTCAACGCACTGCGGGCGGCCCGCTTCCACTACTTGCAGGTGGCCTTCCCAGGGGCCAGTGATGCTGACGTGAGTCCTGAGCTGGGAGGGGACAGTGGGGGCCATGTGAGTGATGTGGACATGAGCACTGGGGGGGCTTGAGATGCTGGCATAAGTGCAGTCGTGTGGAGGGTACAGTGATCCCATCGTAGGTGCCCTTGGGGATAACAATGATGGGGGCGTAGTGGGTAGTGACACAGACATATGGACATGAGTGGAGGATGGGCAGTAGTACCAATGTGACTCCTGGAGGGAGTCAGAAACATGACGAGTACATGGTGGGGAGTGACAGACTTGAGTGCCCCAGGCGCAGAAAGGACTGGGGTCCCTGGTGACCCTAAACCAAGCCCGTCTCTCCTGCCCTATTCTGTGCAGGGCCGCAGAGGACTAGGCCAGGCCAGGGTGTGTGTGAGTGCGAGTGGAGTTAGGGTGCAGTCCATGCTGGCCCTGGGAGGGGGCAGGTGGGAATGGGGCAAGGGATCTCCTGAGCCGTCTAACCTCAGCCCCACCCCAGCTGGTGCCCAAGCTGTCCCGCAATTATCTGAAGGAGGGTTACATGGAGAAGACAGGACCCAAGGTGAGTATGGTGGGTGCCAGGTCCCTGGCTCATTCCTGTTGCCTGGGCTGGGAGGGCAGACACTCACCACATGCCCAGGGAGGTCTGGGGGAGGGGGGACAGACCTATAGCCAAGCTTAAGGAGACCCTAGAGGAGGGGGAGGGCCAGGTCTTCAGGGGAGGGGAGGGCTGGACCTTATGACTGACGGTTCTCTGGGGGGAGGGAGAGACCAGACCCACAGATGAGCTGGAGGGCCCCTGGCAGAGTAGGGGGCCGGTCCCACAGATGAGTCGGGGAGTTCTCCAGAGGAGGGGGGAGGATTGGGCCCACAGGTGAGGTGTTGGGGTCCGCAGGGGCGGAGGATCAGGTCTATAAATGGGCAGTTCCTGGGGGTGGTGGTGGGTCCGGATGAAGGAGTTTGTTCAGGGATGACCCCTGGAGGACATGGGTGGATTTATGACTGGTCAGCGGTGTGTCCACAGCAAACGGAAGGTTTCCGGAAGCGCTGGTTCACCATGGACGACCGCAGACTCATGTACTTCAAGGACCCCCTGGTAAGTGGGGTGCTGAGCTGGAGGTGGGGTGCTTCTCAGCTCACAGGAGGGGGTGCTGGCACAGTCTTCTCAGAGACCCATCCCCTAGGATGCCTTCGCCCGAGGAGAAGTCTTCATCGGCAGCAAGGAGGGTGGCTACTCGGTGCTAGAGGGGCTCCCGCCAGCCACCCAGGGCCACCACTGGGCCCACGGGGTGACCATCGTCACGCCTGACCGCAAGTTCCTGTTCGCCTGTGAGACAGAGGCTGACCGCCAGGAGTGGGTGGCTGCCTTCCAGGGTGTGATGGACCGGCCAATGCTGCCCCAGGAGTATGCAGGTCAGTGCCCAGCCAGGTGAAAAGGGGTCTGGTCTGGGTGGGGTCCTGGGGCTGGGTGAGCCCTGTGGGGCTTGGGTATGTTCTGGGGTCTGGCTGAGCCTCATGGAGTCTGGGTGGGGTCTCAGGGTCTGGGTGAGCCCTGTGTGGGTTCCAGGGTTTGGCTGGTCCTGTAGGGTCTGGGTGGGCCCCTGGGAGAGTGGGGTCAAAGGACAGGGGCTGGTACCAGAGCCAATTCTTGTCTCTTTTCAGTGGAGGCTCACTTCAAGCACAAGCCCTAGAGAACACTGCAGGAGCTGTGCACTGGACTGGAGGCGGCCGGACCAGACAGCCTGCAGAGGTGATCTCTGGGGCCTGTTGGTCTAGGCCGACTGCTGGCATGGACAGGTCCCGAGTGGCCAAGTGGGCCTGGGACTCCTGCACTTCTGCCTGAGCCCCAGCCCTTGGCCACGTACTACAAGGCCTTGTCATGGGCATCTTGGCCCCGGCCTGACCCCTGCCTGGCCACATGGCTTTTTTGGGCCCCATACTCCCTCTGATGTGACACCCCCCCCCCCCAAGGGCCCTTGAAGCCTGACTACTGCTCAAGCAGCCTGTCCCCACCCTTTGGGGAGTGGACAGTTCTCTGGTGTCCAGACATGGTCAGGCCTGTGTAGGTGCTGCAGGTACAGTGGGGCATCTGGCCACATATGGGAGCTCAGACCACCCACAGGTCCATACATCCCTCCTGGTCCCCTCTGTGCTACCCGGCTGGCCTTGAGGGTCCCTCCCTGTCCCCACCCCTCCTCTATCCAGTTATTATATTGAGCAGCTGTGTGGTCAGAAGGGAGGACAGAGCACAGCTTGTCCTCAGCTGTCATGGCTGGGCAGTGGGCTTGGATACCCTGCTGGGGGTGGGAACAGGGGCCAGGGTGCCCACCTGGCCAGCCACTGCTGGCTGCCCCATGGTGCTCCCACTGGCCCGGCATTGCGGGGGGTGGGGTGGGCGATCCTAGGGTGTGAGCTGCTCTTAGCCTGCCTGGGCCCAGCTTGCTGCCGGCCAGCCAGTAGCTGGAGCACTGTATTTATTTACCCCTTCCTTCCAAGTGACCCCATCCAGGTGGGACAAACAAGCAAATGGCCCCCCAGGTGACCTGGAAGCCCCCCTGCCCCTCCCCAGGAGCCGGGCAGCCATGGGGAGAAGATGGGGCTCTGGCTGGGTTTGTGGTCCCCGCGTCACGCCCAGAATAAAGTTGTGTGGCTCTGGTCTCGTGTCAGTGTGTGTGGGTACTCCTCTCCTGAGCTACCCTACCATGTTCCCTACGTCACCGTGGGCTTGATGACCAGTGTCCCCTCTGGGCTGGGGCAGGAGGCTGCCCCTCCTGGGTGCAGCTGTGACTGTCCTCAGCAACAGGGCCACCAGTGGTCATCACTGGTTACAGCACCACCCGCAGACCCCTCAAGGCTGAGATATCTCAGTCCTCAGAGCCCACATCAGGGAGCAGGGGCCCCTCCCCAGGGCTGCCGGTTCACTCGTTCCCTGAGGGCTGACACACACATACACACTCACTCTCTCTGCACACACCCGGGCGCCACAGCTTCTAGCCTGGCCACTAGGGCATGCTGTGGCCATGTCCCAACCACACACACCCCTAGCCCTCCTCCTCTGAGGACCCAGCCACCCCTCTCACAGCCGCTGACCCTGAGAACACCCATGAGCCCCGCACCCCTGCACTGACCCTGTTTTGCACGAGGCACACCTGGGCCAACAGTGTCCAGGACCCTCTGCTGCTTGCGTGTCCTTGTACACTGCAGACACCCTGGCAGCTGCCCCATGGGCTGACGCCCTACCCAGAGCCAGAGTTGTGGTGCTGCCTGGACGTGGTCACCCTACCCAGCTGGGAGTGAATGCCTGCAGACAGCCCAGTATAAAGCATTTATTGAAACTCCACAGTTAACAGGAACCTTCCTTCAATTCCATTTTACAGTAAACAGGACTGTGGACCACCCCGTCCCCATGCATGATCACTGCGTTAATCTACAACTTGAATGTGAAAAAATAAAGTGTCTCCCTTTTGTGGTTACACTGGGACAAGGGCGCTGGCTGGCTGGCTTGGCAGCTGTCGGGTCAGAACCTATGACGTGAGCTCAAGGGACTCCATCACCCAAGAAAAATAAATATTGCATCACGAGGCAGGGGCTTGGCGCCCCGGGTACAGGGACACGGCCTCCACTCACGTGCCCGGGACACATACTACAGGATGGCCTGGCAGGTCAGAACCAACACAGGGTGGAGAGACAGCTCCAGTGCCACGAGGCAGGGCAGGCAGCCAGAGGGGGCCACCATGTCCATCATGTCCCCACAGGAAGCTGGACAAAGGACGGTGCTGTCACGGAGGCCTGTGCTTTATTATGGAGCGATCGGAGGGATAGGGCTGCTGGCCAGTGACGCCCCTGTTCCATCAGCATAGCCGTGGCTGCCTGGCCCCCACAGGAGCCCAGCCCTGGACGCAGCCTGCCAGCCTCAGGAGGGAACCCGGGAACGCTGCCTCGCAGCACACCCTCAAGGGCTGGGGGGTTTCCAGCGCGTCCAGCCGGTCAGTCGAGCTCGATGGGGCTGCTGTCCTCCTGGCCCTCCTCGCCCTCCTCCTGCTCCGGCGGCCCCATGAGGCTGCTTAGAAGATTCCCTGGAAGGACATGTACAGTGTTTGGTGTCCACTCCACCTGCCCCACCATGTCCCGGGGCCAAGATGCTCCTGAACGCAATGGACACAGACAAGGCGCTCGCCCCCAACACCAACAGTCTAACAGAGGAGCTATGAACATGGGTGAGTGCTGTGAGAGCCCTGAGCACGGACACAGCACCACCATAACCATCGGCTGTGGCTCGGCTCCAACTTGACAGCAAAAAACAAAATTTTGAGACTTCAGAGCACTGGTGGCTTAGTGGTAAGCAGATGTCCAGCCAGCCCTGAGGCTGGTGGTTCCAGTCCACCAGCCGCTGTGACAGACAAAGACAGGCAGCCTCCTCCCCCGTGTGATTTGCAGCCTTTGGCAACCCTGACAGGTCAGCTAGAAGCTGGTCCTGAGTCGATGACATGCAACACTCAGGGGACAAAGACTAGAAGGACCCCGGGATAGAGGAGACCGTGAGGACACTAGTGCCCAGCCAGTGAGGACCGTGGCAGTGCCACCACACAGCTCCTCTGGGCTCACCTAGCAAGCCTCCGTAAGAAGACGTCTGCTTGGGTGGCACGCCGAAGAACAGCTGTCCTATCCTGTCGAGGTACTGAAATGGCAACAGGTGGCAAGGAGCCATGAGCAGGGCTAGGGCTGAGGCACAGACCCAGGGGACAGACCCCCTCCCCAGGCCCCTAGCAGTCAGGGGTCACCAGCAGAGCCAGGGGCTGTAGTCTAGATGCCGAGTAGACAGGCTTCCCCCAGTCACAACCTCCCCAGCTTCTTGTGCAGTGAGGCCCTAGAGGTCAGGGGTTGCCATGTGGCATGGACCCTGCGGGGCAGCTCCCTGGTCTGGGCCCTACAACCTGCAAGACGGCCCTGTGGCTCTCAGTTCTCTCTCCCTAGTCTAAGCCACAGACATGCTGACCTCATTGTACATGGGGTCTCTCCTGAGAGATGGCTGGTACTGCTCACACAATACTGTAAAGACGGTCAGCTTTCCCCTGAAAGACATGAGACAGGCCACATCTGTAAACAGAAACAAGTCAGACACACAGCCATGTCCCCAGCACACACACACCTCACAAGATCTCCCGTCCACAGCACACACGCACACACACACACGCCACCAGAGTTCACCTGTCCACAACACAAACCCCCCTCCCCACCATACAGAGAACTCCCCTGTCCACAACACACACCCCTCCCCACCATACAGAGAGCTCACATGTCCACAGAACACACACCTCCCCACGAGAGCTCCTATGTCCAAAGACCACACACACCTCCCCACCAGAGAACTCCCCTGTCCACAGAACACACACACCTGCCACCAGAGTTCACCTGTCCACAACACAAACCCCCCTCCCCACCACAGTGCTCCCCTGTCCACAGAACACACTCACCTGTCAACCAGAGCTCACCTGTCCACAGAACACACACACCTCCCCAGCAGAGAGCTCACCTGTCCACAGAACACACACACATACCTCCCCACCATAAAGAGCTCACGTGTCGAAAGAAGACCACACACCCCTGCCAACCAGAGGTCCCCTGTCCACAGAACACACACACCTCCCCAGCAGAGAGCTCACCCGTCCACTGCCAGCAGCAGGAACCAGATGAAGTTGAGAAGGGGCTGAACAAATGGGGGTCCGCTCTCGATGGACGGGTGCTTCTGTGTGTAGGTCGTGAACACCACAGAAGCGCTGCTTTTGTTTTTCAAGCAGAGAAATCTGAAGAAGGAGCAGCAGGTGAGTGCAGACTGCCTGCATCTGTGCTGTCAGCACAGCTGCCTCTGCAGGGCACACGCTCTTCCGCGGCCCCCACCACCATGGGGCTGCTCAGTGCACCTCCCACCTCAGCAGGGCCTGCACACCAGGTGGCCCCACAGCAGACCCACAGCTCCCGCCTGCTCTGGCCGCTCCCTGAACTGCAGCACTCCAGACTGGTGGACAGGAACTCAAGGGCACCACAGGTTACTGTGTGTCCCTTCTACTATGTGCTATCTTATCTCACTGGCTGTCCGAGGTGCTGGTGAGAGCGGGTGCTGAGGGGTGGCTTGCAGGCTAGGCTGGGCTGGTTCTCGTCCCCCCTCCACAGAGCACCTTCCCCGCTATCCCCTCAAGGGAGCTGCCTCTAGGGAGAGCTTGTTCAGGACACGGGGTCGGCAGGACAGGAAATGGACAATGACAGCAAGTGGATGATAAGGAGGAATGGATGATGACAAGTGCACGGTGACAGGGAGTGGACGATGCAGGGCCCAAGGTCTGGGGCCCAGAGGAGGCTGGTGCGGGTGACCCCTGGTGGTGAGTTTGTTCTGTCTGCAGCGACACAGGATTCCATCCTATAGGTCAATGCAGAACCAGTGACTAAGGGTGCTGACGGGGCAGGAAGTGTTGAGGAGGGCAGGCTGACCTGTCCAGAGCGACCCTGCAGTGCCCCCTGCCCGCTGGAACGCCCTCGGCAACGCAGAGTACCTACTGGAGCACAGCCTGGGCCACAAACATGTCCACCTCACTGCGGAAGCCCCGCGACGTGGAATACTCCACCAGCATGTTGGCACAGCCCTCCCCGTCGGCCGAATGCAGGAAGTGGTACCGCGACTCACAATAGTTCTGCTCTGTGGGGGAAGGGGGAGCTCAGGCTGCAGCACCAAGATCCACTCCCCGGACCGCCAGACCAGACAGCACTCCATCCTAGCCCTCTAGACCCCCACACCAGACAGACCCCCATCATACAGCACCCCCATCCCAGCCCCCCACAGACAGCACCCTGATCCCATCCCCCACATCAGACAGCACCCTGATCCCAGCCCCCCACAGACAGCACCCTGATCCCATCCCCCACATCAGACAGCACCCCTGGCCGCTTCGGGCTGATAGGGTT